TTTTCATCCGAGGGCTGGGTATTGATTACAACCCCAGGCCTTGTGCTGGGAGCCCCACGACCTCTGCATGGTGGCAGACTAGACTGACACACCGCTCTCCCTCGGGGCCGGTACTCCATTTGCCGGCTCTAGAAATAAGAAATCCAAACCAGCTCTTGGCCAATTTGGTCCTTTAAGAAATACCTTCTTGGTCCTGCAGACATTAGCAACTGGGCACCCCCTCTTGTCTTGGGGACAAGATGGCTGATTCCCAGGTAACCTCAGGGCCCCCATTTCTCAAGCAGGATACAGGGCTGAACCACTGCCCTGGGGTCAGCACCCACTGCCCACCTCCTCCCCGGCCCAGCCAGACCCTGATGTGGGCACCTGGTGGCGGCACTCCTCTCCCAGGGGCAGATCCCAGCCAGCTCCTCAGGCCCCACCACACCGGGGGATACCCCTCCTTTTATTTTGTTTCTGCTCAGTCGAGGTTCTTGGCAGGCTTGTCCAGGCATATGGCAACACTGTCGGACCAGGGATAAGCTCAGAAAGCTCGGTGGATGTTAGAGAAGCAGCAAAAAGGTCTTGGCTTCACCTGAATTCCTTTTGCACACAGAAAATACTCCCTCTGGAGACTATTTTGAGAAGGAAAAAGAAAGAGTCACCCTCAGGCTTGGCTCCAGGGCAGGTTTTGCAGGACAAAACACTTACCCTTGCTACTGTGTTCAGATAGAGCTGTGAGTCCCGGGCACTTCTGGAAATCTGGCTTGAAATCAAAAATTGGAAAATTCAAAGCGTGAGCCTGACTCACTGCTGTTCAACTCTGAATTTGAATCCCCTGGAAGATGGGAGTTCTCCCTGGGATGATGCAGTATGTAATGGATTAGGGGCCAGGATTTAAAACTGCCCATGCAGCCTAGACGCTGGCCTTGGAGCCTACCCCCCCCAATGTGATTACTTACGCCTCTCTGGATCGCACCAGACTGTCCCCCCCAGCAATAAGAAGGTGGTATGGAAGAGCTATTATAAGCACCCAAACAGAGGGGAAGCCTGGAGCTTGCTCTCTCAAGGAGCTGAATTTCATCTCCTTTCAATGGTTACCGAGGCGGTGCTGCTGCTGGCTCCTTCCTCCCCAGGGCAGAGGGCTGCTGATGGCCCCCGTAATGCCGAGTGACATGGGTGTGGTGGTGCAAAAGGCTTGGTGGCCTCTGGGTTTGCTGCGAGGTGTTATTTCCTCTGATCTCTCAATTAGGGAGGCCAGGAAGGGTGAGCAGCCATTCATTAGCAGCTGCTTCACCAGCAGCTCAGGGGAACTATATTTACCATCCAAGTGTGGTCAGACAGTTTCCTCTCAACAGGGCGGTGTCTTTCTTTCCACACGCCGCACTGAACAGCTCATGAGAATTTTAGTCTGTTAGGCTAAGAGCAGTTAGGGGAAAAAAAACCCAAAACAATCCAAAAAACCAGTCGATTTTTACATTAGAGAAGCACGAAGCCTTCTGGAGCCCACACTCCTGTTACTGGTGAATAAGAGAACAGCACGTAGACAAAATTCATCAGATCTGTCTGTCGACCTCCCTAAGGATAGAGGATCCCTTTGATGCTGTAGTCTTTCTTTAATTAAGTTTTCAAACCCCAGGCAAGAGGGTCCCCCTTGCCCTAACGAGGCTCTTTGCACATTTGCTTTGCTTTCTGTTCCCTCCTCCCATTCCTTCTTCCCCCTCAACTGGGCCTCCAGGCTTTCTCCTTCCTTTTTCTTTCAGCTCTGCAGCAAGCCATATTCCCTTCCTCCCCCACCTGGCTCCCTGGGGAGAGGACTGGAAAGCAAAACAAAAGAAACACTCACTGGGAAACCATTATTTGCACAGCCCTCCTCGCTCAAACACTCCCACTGAACAAGGTGACTGAACAGCAAAGGCAGCCTCCACGGCGAAGTCAGGCCTTAGGACCAGGAAAAGCCAGAGGGTGGGAGCAAAGGCTTTGAAGCCAGGGCCAAAACCTTTGATGGCTCCAAGTGTGCTTGGAGGGAGGCCAAGCGAGGTAACCAAACTCCCATCAGCTGGGCTTGCTGGTTACTCCCCTGGCAAAATGGGCTCTTAGTCGGCTCTACGCTGTTCAGGGCTCTTGCAGAGATTAATCTATACCAGCTAAAAATATCTGTGCTCTTTGTGCAATTTCTCCTTGTGAAATTAGCAACGTTCCACTCATAGTTAGAAATACTGCTATGTGCATGGCTGTGGTATAAGCTGTGCATTCAACCCATTTTACACTTCCTTTAGAAATATTGCAAACCGTGGAAATCAATCCCTGCAAGCATCTCTTCCCGACTGCGCTGCTGGTCCCAGTAAGTCTTTGTGCCAGATGCTCCTCAAAGATCTATCGTCACTTCAGCGCAGTCTGTCCTCACAGATGCTTCTCAAGGAGATGTCACAAAGTCATGTCCAGGGTTATTTTGACTTCGTCTAAGTCCTCGGATGGAAAGAAATATCCAGGGGAAGAGCATAGCCACGGCAATGCGGTTTGGCCATTATGGAATGCTTCAAGTGCCCATTCACTGATCCCCTGGCAGCGTCTCTGGCCTGCCCACGGCCACTCACATCAACGCCACATTAGTTCTTCCGTTGGAGACGCCAGTAACTGCATTCAATGAAAACCCATTATAAAATAGAGACTCAAAAAGTTCAAGGATGAATTAGACCAGATGTTTTGGACATGACTTTGGCCAACGCTTATTAGCCCTTGCAGATGTAACTAAGAAACCTTGGTTTCGCAGGCAGATAATTCAGTGTAACTGCAGTGTAACTGCTACCCTGGAAACTAAGATGTGAAGCATGCCCTTGTTTCACCAACATTTAGCAAATGTCATCTTTAATTGGCGATACACTTTGTTCTCTTTAATGAGTGACACTCTCCTTAACAATTGGGACTGGCGTAATGAAATCAGGAACGCTTCTTTGATTGCTCTGAAATAGCGGGGCTCAAAATAAGCTGTCATGAGGAATATAATAAAAAGCAATTTGATGGCCATAGAAGCTGCGAGAATAGATGAGGTCATGCGAGCACTGCTAATAGGGCCTGTCTCCATTTGGACAATATGTTTGCGTCCACCTGAGACTGGGTTTAACGGGAAGGTATGGCTGTGCCTATGTGAAAGGAAACACTAGCCAAATTACCTTTTTAATCTTTCCAGGGAATTTTTCCTCACAGATGACAAACACATTTACTTTCTTTCACTTTGAGAAGTAGGAACTGGTCCTCTTAAGCAGACTAGTGTGTCAGCCTAGTGGTCCAGCCACATCCTGAGTATCCAAATTCTGTTGAAATTACCTGGTTAGAGATCCTAAAGTGAATGCCAAACCTTGCATGGCATCAACTCCTAGGGTTTCAAAGCGTACCAGAATTTGGCTTATTGCCTGAGCTGCTACTTGCATTTTTATTGTTCAGTCAGTTGATAAATCTTCTCTGTATCTCCGCAGTTCCAAAGATTTAAACCAACCATCTTTACTGTACAATCAACAGATTTAAATGAAATTTGTACTGAACGTTAAAATCCACTGGGATCTTATTTACCAACTCCTCAGATTTTCTGTGAATAACGGTCCCATTTTGCTGACTATATGATAACTGGCCTAACAGAGTTCATCAGTATTGTTGATTTAGATTCCTCCTACACAACATGAGTGTCCTGTACGTAAGTCCATGAGGACGACAAAGGAGGGAGATCTCTTTTGCATACCAGAGACATTTTTCCTGACCAGCAGTGGAACAGCAGGCTTGAATATCCCTTTCCCATCGTCTTGGGGCACAGGAACGCTGTGTTAGAATAAAAAGTTCTCACAAAACAGGAGAGGCAGCAAAGGAATAAGAAACTGACTGCAAATTTGTGATCTTTTCCTTAGTCACAGCTGAACAGAACATTTTAGAATCCAAGATTATCACTGGAAACAGGGAGCTGTCTCATTTCACTGACACGAGAGGAAAGGTCTTAGTCACAAAGTGCTGTAGAGATCATTTCTATTGTTTCTCTCGTTTCTGGGCAGCTATAAAAGATGGTGCGAGGCACTTGTTGTCATTGCAACTGGAACGTCACCGCAAGACTGGCAAAGAGACACAGCTGTGGAGATCAGAACTTCACCGCGATCTCTACAAGATCAACAGTAAGTGGATAATGTTACTTTTCTAACTGGAAGATGCTTTTTCATTAATACATAGTTTATTGTTGGTTGCAATAGGAAGGTAGAGCTTATCCATTATGCATGAGCAGGGGTTCTACATCAGCGTAACCTAAAATATCATACAGCGTGTAAATACACATATATCTATATGTACATTTATGTGGATAGATCTGCATTTAATACAGACATTTTTAAATTGGACCTAGTACCTATTTGTTCCTTCATGCCGAGTTTCATTTGAAGGTATTGTCCAAGGAAATTACTTCAGCAATTAGTGGAGCAGACTTTCTTAAGAACAAGCTTAATTGTTACAACCAAACGTATGATATCATTTGCCTTTCTAGCCAGTCATTGACAATTCAATATTGAAGTTAGGAAAATGAAAAGTCATTTGAGATGCTGAGGTTTTTATAAACCCAAACTGCTTCTGCATATAAAGAAGCATTTCTTCAAAAAATCAGTAGCCTCATTATACGGGAACATAACCTTACTATTCTTACATGACAATTTAAATGCTGCAACTTTTGTTTTGTTGTCCATTTAGGTTTTGATGTAACAGTTAATACAGGATTTGCTAGTAAATAACTAAGGGACAGGCTGGAGCCAATCTTAAAAGCAGGGTACAGTCATTAGTGTGAAAAATGCAGAAATTTTAGCGATAGACTTGGCGATAAAGGAGCGGTGGAGTTGAAAGGATGGGTAGATAGAGGCGTACCAAAGCCAGGAGCAGGTACGTAACTGAATACAGGTACTAATTAGGTGAAAATAATCACTGCACAATTACATTTTCTAGTTGTCACTTCCCTAAGCCAGAAATCCACTTTTTTAGAGAAAAGAAATCCAGTCTCAGTCTAATATCATCCTCATGCAGTGACAGATTTGGATGTCAGCACTTGCATCGCTCGTGGAAAAGGCTGTATTATTAACGGTCCAAATCCCAGGGCTGAGTACAACTTTCAACTTGATCTGCATGGTCCGATCTTAAACTCTTTCTTTTGGTCACAGATTTCTTAGGCTGCAATCCTCATCTTTTTGTTAGAGTTCTGCTAAGTTTTTAGCAGGAACGTCTCTTGCCAGTTTTAAAGGAAATGATCTCTCCTGTGCTCGCAAATGCGCAAGAGTGGGCAGTAGTATAGAGGCAGCAGTGGAAAAGGAGGTTTAGGACTCTTAGCAAGGAAATCTAGAAATATCTGTGAAATCTATTCGTCTCTTACTGGTGTATGTTACAAATGCACATGTTGGATGTTCTGGGAGGTCTGGGGATGATGTACCATAGTACAATGCTCCGCTTTTTACCAGTGCTTAAAGGCTGAAATTCATTTTGTCAGGTGAAAGGAAGAACAGAGAAAAGATTTCTGATCGTACCGTCAGCTTCTTGTCCTGTGGAGCAGATTTAAAGAAGAGAGAAAATGTTCCTGCCCCAGAGATCTCTGCAGATGGTTATGTTTTTGGCAATTCTTTTTTTTGCCTGTTTTGCAACGTGTCAAGACACCGAAAAGTAAGCAATATCACCCTTTTACTTAATATCATTAGAAGACTGCTTGCCTTTGATTTAATGGGCTGTATTCTCCACTGCTGTCATTTACTCCAGGATATGATGGAAGGAAAATTCTATACATTTGATAGGGCAACATTTTACATCACCCTGTATGCAGTATAGAATTAGACCAATTGCATTTTTAGATGTGTAGCGTATACATTTCAGTTGACGCTTTCAAACACAGTGTAGCAAACCACGTAAGGATGTTCAACGCAAGCCATGGCAATGGCACATACTATAATTCCATATTTAAGTTCCCATTCAGATCCAAATCTGCAGGGGGAGCCTACAGCTGCAGTTAGCTGTTATCGAAAGAGCCTGAAATCCAGAAATGTTTGCATCCCAGAATTAGCCTGCCCTCCCCAGTCACATTTGGCTCAAAATTTTTGGTATATCTGAAGAAAATAAGGATTTGTTTTCACTTCATGGACATCACTGATTTCAGTTAAATCACCTCTGATGTACAGCTCTGGAAGGAAAGAAGCAAACCCAACAATCCTAGAACACTAAGGTCATGAAGAGGGAATTTTATTTTGGTATTTAAACCTCTGAAAAGAACCCAAATTTGGGAAAGACCAAATCTCTGTAAGAGCTCTTTAATCCTGCTAAGGTAATTTTGTCACTGTCTCCCCAGTTTGCCTTTTTTTTTTTTTTTTAAAAAAAACCCCACAAACCGAGCAGGCGATTCAAGGTCTACCCTGTGGGAATGACAGAGTGTTTCAGCTTCCCGCCTTCAGGAACTGTCTGCCCGAGCTGGGCTGCGTGGGAGCGCTCCCGCTGCGGGCTGCGAGGGTCAGGCTGGCTGCGGGCACCAGCACTGCTAGCCTGGCCTCGGGGGTGGACACCACCACTGCTCCCTCCTCAGCTTAGAGAAGCATCCAAGATTGATGGATGCAAATCAGCCACATCTGAAATAAGAGCTTAGAGCCAGCTGTGCTTGTTCCCTAATTAACTCTTTCTTCCCCTTGCAGTAAAAGGGCAGTGACGGAGCATCAGCTCATGCATGACAAAGGGAGGGCGTTTCAAGGGCTGAAGCGCCTGATGTGGCTCCACAACGCCCTAGGTAGCGTGCACACAGCCAGCAGCAGGGATATTTCTCTTTCGAATGCCCTGTGGGATTCTCAGAAGAGCCAAGATCCCTCAGATCTCTACAACAGCATCAGCAGAGATGAGACTTCGAGCCTGATGAAGCAGCTGCTGGAACTGACGGAAGAAGAGCAGGGCTTCCCTCCATTAAAGCAGCTGGATTTGCTGCAGTACGTGAAGACCCCAAAGAGTAACTGGAACCCACAAGACCTTTTTGACCTCCTTCAAATCAAAGAGCTGGGCAGCAAGAGAAATCCTAGCACCCAGCCACAGAACTTATCCCACTAGCCCCAATCCAGCTCAGTCCATCCATTGCTTTAGACGTGATGTTGTAAGGAAAAGCTCTAGTGCAAAGGTGAACTGCAAAAGAAAAATAACATCCATTTGTTCCATTAACTACTCCTAGGTGTTGAACAGAGAGAGACCCTTACCAGGCCCCAGGTTCTCTCCCTAGCAGGCAGGCCAAGCACTGTGGCTGTGCCATGGGGTCCTTTGTCACCAGCCAGAATCTCTCCTTCTGTGGCAGGGCCCTCCCTCTCTGTTTCTTAGGGCCGTGGCAGCTCTTTGTAGCTCCTCTAGGCCACACGTAGCAGGGAGTTTGGTTCATTCATCTGCATATTCACAGGCTCACTTGCAGTCTGATGGTTTGACTCCTGAAGCAGCAGTTACCTCCTCATACAGATTCTCTTCCACTTCACACCTGCCTGCGGTTCTGCCCTGCTCTGCTCTAGCCGTGACTTCCCTTATACTTCAGGTCCAAAGGTTTGTTATTTCCTGCTTCTCCAGCATGTAGGATGTTTTCAGCCTCTCATCCCTCGGGTTTTCCTTCAGGGTGGCAAACTTTTGCCAGGCCACAGAGGTAGAAGTTGACAGTGACCCCCACCCTCCTGGCCAAAGCCCTCGACATTCACCTTATTCTGCTGGTGGAAGAGATGAGAATCAGCTTCCAGCGTCGCCATTTGTTCAGCCTTTTGTTTCAAGACTTCCTACCTTGTCTTTGTTCACATGAAATCCTCTCCAAGAGCTCCCACACTGCTCCAGATTTTCTCGGCAGAAAACCAGCTGCATGAGGCCACATGCGTTTCCTGAAAGAGGCAGCGTGTGATTTTGCTATTCAACTTTAGTATTGAACTGACCCACTCCATCTCAGCAAAGCAAGGTCCAGTTTAATTGCAAAAAGTCTTTCAGAAATAAAATCTCAGTCATGTGTGTTACAAACATATCAGCATTCCCATCATGTAGGGTCTCTACACGCTGTTTTAAATCCTGAAATTCCTCTGTTGCTGATAGACCTCAACTGCATGTGCAGAAGGTATTTCTGAGCGATTAAAACCCAAGAACTCCTTGATGTTGTTAAGAATAAAAACCTTTTTCACCCTCTGCATTGCACTTGCTTTTTTTGTAGACATGTAAATAAACCAAAGCAAAGCAAAATCCTCTTTTGCTAGTATCTCCACACATGTGGGGTGGCTATGGAATTGCATTTCTTTCGTCACGCCATTCCTCAGCGCTCCCCATTAGATTCCCAAGCCCAGCCAAACCATTACCCAAGCCGACGGTTTCAGATGTTCCTGGAGAGCAGATGAGAGCTGAGACGCAATCGGGTCTCACTGCCCGTCAGTGTTTGCTGAGCTGGGACGTGGGAGCCCTTCCTCCCCTGAAACGATCACAGAATCACAGAATCGCAAGGGTTGGAAGGGACCTCAGGAGATCATCTAGTCCAACCCCCCTGCTAGAGCAGGCTCTCCTAGAACAATCTACACAGGACTTCATCCAGGTGGGCTTTGAATATCTCCAGAGAAGGAGACTCCACAACCTCCCTGGGCAGCCTGGGCCAGGGCTCGGGCACCCTCAAAGTAAAGAAGTTTTTCCTTGTATTCAACTGAAACCTCTTATGTTTCAGTTTGCACCCATTGCCCCTTGTCCTGTTGCTGGACACCACTGCAAACAGACTGCTTCCATCCTCGTGACTTCCGCCCTTAAGACATTTGTACGTGTTGATGAGGTCCCCTCTCAGTCTTCTCCAGGCTGAACAAGCCCAACTCTCTCAGCCTTTCCTCCTAGGGGAGGTGCTCCAGTCCCTTTATCATCCTAGTTGCCCTCCTCTGGACTCTCTCTAGGAGTTCCTCATCTTTCTTGAACTGGGGAGCCCAGAGCTGGACACAGTACTCCAGGTGGGGTCTC